CATGTGGTAGCTGGACTTCTGGCGGAACTTAAAGACTTGGGGAGAGAAGTCTCCGCCCCGGCGAGGGTCACCGGCCGCCCGGCCTTGGCTTTCGGGAGAAGTGCTCCCCTCAAATCCGTTGAAATATGCCCCGGCCTCCAAAGTGTAGGGATAGGGTCTCCCCCTCACCGTTTGGGGTCTCGGCCTCAACTGGGAGACCCTCGGGCGTGGCCTTTGGTACTTGCAGAAGAAGTTCTTCGAAGTCCCTCCTTCTACAAGGGTGGGCATTCCTGTTGGTAAAAAAACTCGACCATTTCCCATCTCTGATGTTTCTCTTGAGAACTCCTCCACTGCGTTTTGAACCGACACACCTCAGCCTACCCAACTCCGCCCACCGCGATGGCAGAAGCTCGTTCACTCTGAGCTGAAGAGATTGCCGAGTCCCGCCTTGTTCGTGGCACGGAGTGTTGCTTGACCTGGGCTACTGTGGGACTGGACTTGTGAAAAGGAACGGGAAGCAGTCAGAGCAACCCACTGACAAACCCACTGCCAACCTCCAAATAACACCCTAAACTCTTGGGTTTGTGCCATTTACACACGCGGCACCACGGGGTGTGTGTTGACTTGGCGTTTCCCATCCGATCACGTTTTGTCACACGTTTTGTCCACCTGCTGCTGCGCCACGCCACTCGAAGGGTCTGCAAGCATGTGACAAAGAAACCGAGAGGATCCAAAGAGGATAGAGCGCCCCTTTGGGGTCTGTAGAGCCTTTGCTTTCGCCGGCCCTTTTTTGGGGGGCCCTGTTTCAGGGTGGGGAAATCAGACGCCATGTTGGTTTCGGATTCCATCAGCAAACGTCACCGGCTTATCGGATGCCGAGTTTTACAACTTTGGCTTGGAGCTTTGTGATCTGCAAGGCGCGTACCAGCGACACCGTACGACCGCGACCGCGACCCCGTACGACCGTGACAGGGATGAGATGGAAGATGGTGATGTCTGCAGTGGAGATGGAGATAGAGATATTCCATGGTGCGAACTCGGGAGAATGCAAGAAGTGCGTTTTTGATGGGATGGTCTTCCACTGCATGGAATTTCCATCGCCCTACATTTTGGCTGTCAGTTGGGATTCTCGTCTACGTCCTGCTCCTTCTCAGAGGAAAGTGTCCCTTTTCGACAATGAAGCCTAAAGCTACAGTCGATTGAGTTCTAGTCAAAGAGCGAGCCCAGCACTGTTTGCCCAGAAAGTGTGTGTGTTACCAATACCATCCAATACCCCAATCAATCATTGAATCATCAGTTGACATCCGAATTTCTAATCAGATGATCAATTCCGTCATTGGCCGCACGATCGGCTAAACCGATGTATTCATTGATCTTCCAACCCCCTCTGCGATGACCCCCCTATGAGCGATATAGTTTCAGTGACCATTCTCTCGATCTTGTGACCGACTCGGCGACGTGCCGTCGCGTCGCCGCGATCGATGAATCGATGGACGGGCGAGCGAGCGAACATCGGACGGACGGATGGTCCTCGCGGCGCCAGACTGGGGAATGGGTCTCTTGCCTTTCAAAAGAAGCTATGAGGAAAAGGACGAGGCGTTTGGGCACCGCCGACCGATCAGCCGTGGTCAGGATCGGAGAGGAGAGTAGAGGATGCCGAGAAGGTCTTTCACTTTTGCAATCTTTTGCCGAATCCACATGGGCTTTGAAAAAGAATATGTTATTATGTAACACTGTAACACACAAATTGAATTAAATTGTACAGGGGATAAGGTGTCCTGTGCAGGGTTCATGGTGGCCCCATAAGGAGTCGGAAATTGTCGAAAGCGGGACTCGCCTATAGTCACTATAGTACAGACACTACTTGAATCTGATTGCCATAATTGTGGAGGATGCGGAACCTGTAGACCCTGGACCCACCTGGTATCATACGGACAGCCTGCCCCAAACGGCTTAAACCGTTTGAAAGCGGCTCCGAAGTTCTCCCACACTTTTGCTTGGAAAGTCTTTAGAAGTCTTATAGTTATAAATGCATCAAATAGCGCTTGTCTGGTTCCACGGGGTATGAACAAACATCGGCCCTTGGTTTCTTTTAATGGTGACATATTTGTTGAGTGGAACAGGGTCACTGGTCACCCGGTGTCCATCCTCCTCCCCGGAACCCACCGTCCCTCCCGAAGCCCCGGAAACCCCGCGTCCAGACGCTGGAAACGCTCCAGCTGGTCACTCGGGAGCGCCTCGGAGGCGACCGACGACGTTTCGTGGTTTCCACGGACCCCCTTTGGTTGGGTAATTTTCTTTTGGGACACCCCGGTATCTGCCCGGTATCTGCCTGGTGCTGGATCCATTTTTTGCTAAGATTCCCTAGCGAACGATGACATGGTTTGGGAAACGTGTGAGATCGTGTGAGTGACATATGTGTGCACACTTCTTCCAAAGACGGCAGCAGTTCTTTTTTTATTTTTATTTTTTTCAGAGTGCAGCTCTATAGATATTTGATGACTGATCGTATGAATTGCATGTGATGCCATGCATTCTTTCTGAAATGAGAGGTGCCACTTCTTCAGTCCGCATGCCATGCACCTGCCATGAGAAGAAGAGGACACTCAATGGTAAACTGTTTTGGGGGGGACATGAATCGGGTTTAGCGCACCAGATTATTTGTACTCACGTACTGAACGATGTACAGTCGGCCCAACTCTTGCAGATCTGAGGTTGGCATGCTTTTCCTGCTTCACATCAGCCACTGGACCGGGGATTTTCGTCGGACCGGGGTTGGCCCGTGGACGAGTCCCCAGGTCCGGAGCGGCGAGTCCCCCCGCGGTCGGCGCGGACTGGTGGCGTCCGTGGTGCCGTCTCCCGACAGCTCCGGCCTTCACGCGGTTTTGCGTTAAAAGGCTTTTCTTAAGACGTTGTGCCTTCTAATTCTAATTCTTGTTTCTAATAGCTTCTTGTTCCTAGTAGTAAAGCCAGGAGCCCCTAGTAACCTAGTAGCGTTCTTGCTCCTAGTAGCGATGCCAGGAGCCCCTAGTAGCTTCTTGTTCCTAGTAGCTTTTCTTCTCTTCAGGCTGATCGATGTTTCAGGCCACTGAGGAAGAGAAGAACGGACCTGCGGTACGGACGTAGTCTTATCCCGAATGTCTTCACAAGAAGACCAGTTTTGCCGTCACGGTGTGTGGAACAGACCCAGTTGAAAAGAATGCTCGGTGCGGCTTCGCTTTCTGATGGTGTTTCTTCTGCGGGTGCTGGCTGCCCTTAGCCTTGAGCCCCGCGCGGGGAATCTGACTCGAGGGACTTGAGTCAGCGAACTTTTGAACTGGCTAGCTGCTAGCTCATCGGTGGTCGCGGATCACCCATCATTTTGGCAACCTATACATGCCTATACCACAGACATATACAAGCACTTTTTTGGCCAAAGCAGAGGTCCTTTCGTTGCGGGCTTGGTAGTTTGGTTGTTAGCCACGCTACGTCTTTGGATAGCAGAAAGAACAGACCAGAACGATGACTTGGATTTGTTAGAGATGGTGCAACCCCTCGGAAACAACGATCCGAGCTGATATGGGGACCTTGTCCAAAAATGTCCAAAATGGTTCGGGCTCGGATGGGGTTTCATCTACCTGGACAGATTGCCTTTCAAAAAGACTCACTTGTACAAGGCTAGGTGGGCATGATGTCGAGTAGTTCAGATCAAATTGTACTTTGACTTGTTTGCGAGGCCCGGCTTTTCTGAGAGAAAAAGTTCACCAAAACGATCTCAAATCTGGAAAACAGTGTCAAATGCTATTTTATGCGCTACTTTTGTTGCTTTGCAAGAATCGGGTTTTGACGAGCAAACTTGGAGCTGAAACACTCCTAGAATGTCACCAATTCGTGGGCCAGATGATACCAGTACCACACCTGTAGTTACTGTAGTTCATGAGTAAAATCACTACAGGCAGGGTTGACTTAGTGTTGACCAGTTTCTCTTCGAATCGGCCAACACACACACTTCCTGGAAAACCGTCTAAAGGACAAATTCGTTTTTTGTTGCTAGGCAGGGTAGGGGGGATTCTGCGAAAACCCGAAAATATGCAAGCGAGTAGCTGAGCAACCAAGGGGAATCACTGGTACCAACTCCTGTTTAGGGGCACAGGTGAGGGCACCCCATCGAACACAGGCGTCACAGGAGTATTCCAAGCGAAGGCCAGACAAGACACCATTGGTCGTACCCCATCGGACACTTGTTGACTGGGGAAGAACACGCAGGACCGCCGCTTTCCGACAGAAATGGGCGTGAGCCAACCAGCTGGTGGATCGCAAGACGTGCGTACCTGGGAGTTCCACCAGAATTGGAGGTCGAAAAGAGCGAACTGATCCAGCACGGAAATGGCACTGAAGGGAGGCCACAGCCAAAGGCACTGAGTGGACTCAGGCCACCGTTCCATAGACAGATTGGCCCAAAATTACTATTACTTGAAAAGAATCAAGACGTCCGACCTCATGCGACAGACATCTACTGTAGGTCCTCCGACCCTCCAATTCGGTGAAACGCATCCGGGTGGGTCGAAAATCCACCGCTGGGGGCTTTCCGAGACATGGCCCTTTTTCATTCCGATTTTTTGGCAAAAAAGGCGGTGCGGCACTGCACTGAGCTGCAGGGAGGGGGGTTGTGGGTTGGCAGGGTTGACCACGAACCTTGGGCACCGACGCTTGGCGCACTCTCCCCTCGCCAAACGAAGGCCTAAAGGGTAGAAAGGCTGAAACAGATCCTCGACCGGGTTTAGATGGGTTTTCGTTTGACCGGGTTGTCGTGGTGCAGCAGAATCACTTTCGTGGGGACCGGAAATTTGGAAGGTACCCTAAACTCTTCCGCCTGGTTTCGTCCGTATATGGCGGATGGCTGGGGTCGTGTATTGCGATCCCCGCAGGTTCGGACCTAGGTTGGGTCCGAAGATTCCAAGCACAGATGATTGGCCAAAAGCTGGAGGAGAAGAAGTCGATGACGATCGCAGTTCTTTTTCGCTCCAAATCTGAAGTCTCAGGCACTGCATGCCCACGCTTCTGGGGGCTGGAAAGCTCAAGTCCTCGGGCTTGGCAGCCATCTTTGGAGTGGTCACCTGGAGCAATTTTCATGGAGGTCACCTCCAGCGGAAGTCGGGTTCGGCTGGGAGGGGGTGGCGGCCTCCGGAAGCCATGGTGGAGATACAGGCCCACAGGGAAGGGGGAATGGGAGCTCGAACAGGCAGCTGGCTGGCACACCACCAGGCGCAAGCTGGAACACGCCCCTCTCTCCCAAGCCGCCGGTAACCCGGTGACGCCGCTTTAAGGCGGCGGGTGACGACGATGGACTGGGGAGGTCCGAGGAAGATAGGAGAAAATCAACCGATTATCTTAATCCAGGAGTCACAAAGGGGTGGTGTTTAGTTCCATCCAGTGAGTGGATGTTCTGGGCACCTCGACTACCTCCATGGATCGCACCTCTTTGGAACTGCTGGATGTTGAATCCAGAAACATCGGGTTGGTTTTTCTTCCCTCTTGGTGCCTCGCGAGGCTCAAGAAGCATCCAGGGGCCGCTGGTTTGGGGTTTGGCAACGCTGGAGATGCTTTGGGTTGAAGAATTTGGACCAGAATTTAAGGAACTGCCTCCTCCCAAAGTCCAACTGGCCAGCCGTAAATGTTCGCTCAGGTTCTCCGGTACCCACGGCCCACGCTCATTGGAGCTTCTTTGAAAGTCTTTCTTTGTTCGTGCTGCATCCTGGCGATGAACAGCTGGGTCTCCGTAGGAACTTGGATGAAAAAGAAGACATGCTCACTTCACTTTGCTGTCCAGAATCTTATGAGGCAGCTAACAGACGTGGCGTGGGAGGACGTGACAAAGCCAGGTGACAAAAGTAGAGAAGAGTGACAAGGGTGGCCTTCCATGGCGAAAACGGCCACGCCTGCGAACCTGGGGAGGACATTTTTTCGCCGGAGCATGGTTTGGGGATTTTTGCGGTTTTGAGGACCAGGTAGCTTTCATCTATACGCCCGGTGAGACGGGAGCTTTCATGGAAAGCAACATATCCATCACAGCGGGCGTCTCGTGTGGTTTTATGGTGCCGGGCTGAGAAAGCGACCAGCATCCAGGCTTGGGTCTTCTTCCCATGATCTTCCCCTTCACTTTCTTGACCTTTGCTTTTGCTGCCTTTGCTGTATTGGTCATCTGGAGCTTTTTTGCGATCAGCAGCCTGCGGCCCCCTGGCAGCATCACAGGAAGCTGTGCTGGCTCAACAGGGCTGCCTGCCTGTTCACCCCGGCGGAGAAGGAACATCATAGATCCTGAAAAATGGACCCAACCAGGACCCCGAACCAGGGGTTTCTATTGATAGCCCATTAGAGAGGTGATTTGGGGCGTTGATAGCCCCCCGGAACTTCTTTCCATTTTTCATATGGATTCCTGGAAGACGGCCTTTCTCTGCCACCGAAAACGAACCACTGGACGATGTGACACGGTCGCTGACACGGAAAACCCAGCCCCAGGTAAACCTCCCATGTCGGATATCATTGGATGTACTTTCGATATTATTTGGTAGCAACAAAAAAGGCCGGAAAGGGTGATACGCGCGATACAGAAAGGGAGTTGCCAACAACTATACAGATCTTGTACAGATCCAAGTTCTTCATGGTTGAAATGTGACATGCACTGAAGACGATGGAATCTCAATCCAACTGGCCCAAACAATCCCTGGTTCTGTGATTTGGTGAGCTGGTACGACCCAAACTTTAGCTTTTCGATGCTTTTTCGATGCTTTTCGGCTAAACAGCCAGTGGCTAAACCGCCGAATCCTTCTCCACAGGGCCCAAGGCTCGCACAGATCCCACAGCATGAGCACCTCCGAGCGCCTGGTCTGGACGCGTCGAACTCCGCATCCGCCGCACATTCCGCATCTTTGCATCGGAGCCCAGGAAGGAAGGCCGTGTTAATGTTCCTCCGCTCAACTCGGTGACCTGGGCTGCGGGTAGCGGGCAGTTGGATGTTTTTCTCTTCTTTTTTCCTGACACCCAGAAAAGAAAAGGTTCCGCGCTGTCCGTTACATGCCCGTGTGACGGACGGTTAGGTGTGACCCTTAGGTAGCGTCCCTGCATGGTTAGGGTGCTGCCGCTGTTGTGGCTTTGCGGTGGCCTCGTCTTCTCGACGACACCTGGATTTGAAGGAGCCTGGCTGGCACCGCAACTTGCGGCGTCGACGACATCGTGCCAGGCCCTTTCTCAGAAGGCTGAGCAACAGAGCTGTGGGAGCACGCGCCAGAAAGCGTGCAAGGAGGGCGGTGGAGCTGCTCGACACCCATCACGGCTCACACGCACCAGCCAATATGAGTCTCCAAAGCCAGAAGTGGGATTGCCGACATTGCAATGTCAGGATGACTTACATGCAGACGCATTGCACCAAGTGCCGTGGATGGTGGGAACAATGCAGTCGAGCCAAGTCGAGATCCCAGTCGCAGGAGAAACGAAGGGCTACCAGCAAAGGCCAGAACAATGCCAAGAAGGACGAGGCCAAGCCGTCAGATACCCAGGGATCTATGTTGCCTTCCTTTATGAAGTGGGATGGACTGGGTCAACCATGGCAGAAGTCGACACCAGATGGACGGCTAGCCAAAGTCCAGCCGGAGGACAGTCTCGAACTTCCTCCACCAGCGCAGTTGCTGCCACCTCCCAAACCAGCCGACGAGCTACAGGAGGTGGCGCCAGAGGTTCGTGCCCACATCGAAAGCCTACCGAAAAGTATGGTGTCGGCATTCACGCTCAAGTTGGAGCAGGACATCATTGCCGCTGCTCGGGCCCATCCCAAGGGCCCCAGGCTGGAGATCACGCACACGGACCTCAACAAGGCCAAGCGGCCGCGAGAAACCAATACGATGCAGCCAAGGCTCATTTGAAAGAAGTCGATGGCAAGTGGGTACAATTCAACCCGAGCCTGCAGATGGCCTACAACCTCGAGCGCGAGGATTACCGCACGAAGAGGGAGTCTGCCTTGGAGGAGGTGAAAGCCAAGAGGCAGAAGCTGGTGGATATTCAGGAACGCATCCGCACATCAGCCCTTCAGCAGGGTGCAAGGGAGGATGTCATAGACGCCCCGGATGTACCAGAGTTCAAGCTCACGGAGCCGGTGGACCTGGAATCAGAGGAGGAGCTCATGCGGGATGCAGAGTTGGAGCACCAGCCCAATGCCAAGCCAACATTTGGCCGTGCGCACAAATCACCGACAAGACAAGGGGACACTCAGCTTGGGGGTATTCCGAAGAAAGTGAAAACCGAAGATGGGACAGGCAGATGAATGTGCTTGATGTCACTTGGCCTCCATGGGGATGTGGAGATGGTCAGTTGACCTGCATGCTGATTCTGTGCGGATTGTTCCTTTATGAATTTCTAGGTGAACCAGGTGGTGACTTTGGAGGATCTTGGGAAGTGGCGCTTTGGCAGTGCTGCATCCTCTTTTCCGTGGACCTCTTCTCAAGGGCAGTGAGGAGCTTCTTCACATGGTCTCTTGGCACCTGGCTCCTGGACCGCCTTCAAAAGGATTTTGTGATAGGGGACACTCCCGGTAGGTTGAAGCCACGTAGAGTTTTTCCTCTGAATCTTGGAGGGTCCATTTGGGTTCTAGTCGTTTATTGTGGTTGCCTTGAGAGAGTTGGTGGTAACTGCACATCAGCAGCTGCGTATGAGCCAGAGGGACTCTGGACTATTGGAGCGTGGGCGCGGTGGCTCATACCCACTGGCCGGCCCCTTTCCCCAGACACGCCTTCCAAAGTTGGCTGATGATGAAGACATGGACGGCTTTGACAAGTTGATGAGATTGAGAAGACGGAGGATCTGGCCACCTTTATGCAGCTGGTCAGGAGCTCTCCGATAAACTGGTACGAGTACAAGCAGACGTTGACTGCAGGCTTGTACCGCCTCTGGAAACATCCTTTCAGTGCATGCCACTACCCAAAGAGTGACGAGCTGAAAGGGGTGCCTGCCAGCTTTTGCACGACATCCCAACGATACATGCATTTTGTTTAGCCTTTAGGCGATGAGAAGCAAATTGCTGTGCAGATTGTGGATCGTGTGGCTGATGGGCCCCCACTTGAAGACATGATCCTGTATCAGGACGAACACTCTTACAGGTTGCCAATCATGATGCAAGCTGTGACGGAACACTTTGTTCTACAAGGGTCCATTTTGCTGGAGTACCCTGACTCCTCTTCTAGGATCAACTCCAGGGAACTCTTTGCGTTCTGGGAGACGCCTTGTAGATGCGAGGAGATTGATTGCATTGTTGTGCTTCCTGAACAGGTGCCGTTTGGAGGAGACCTTGAAAGCTGGACCGATGGATGTGCTCATTGCCAACCTTCATGTTCCCCACAGTGGCCATACTGAAGATGAGATCATACAGTTTTGGCATGACTTCCAGCAGGCTGTGCCACCTCACCTTCGGGACATGGGGGACTTCAATGCCAGAGTAGATAGCACCACATCAAGTGCCATTGGTAGTCTGGGTGAGGAGGATGAGAAAGTAGCTGGTGGTCTTCTACATGAGTTCCTGCAGCGTGCAGGCTTGTTTCTGCCGGCTACCTTTGAGGGTGTCCACTCCGGACTACGGACCTACGCACACATGGACTCACCCCAATGGTGCTACGGCTCGTCTCGATTACCTTGCCATTCCTCTCAGGTGGGCCACTTCAGACTTGCACACGTGCACTAATTTTGGATTGCAAGCCCATCAGCACTTGCATGATCACCATGCTACTTGCATGCAACTACAAGCGGTCCTACGTGGTGAGCCTGAACTAGTCCGTAGTCGGCGGGCCGCTCCAAGACAACGCCTGGACGCTGAACAAGGAGTTGAGCTGATGCAGCAGGCGGTTGCCGCCATACCTCCAATTCCTTGGCATCTTGATATGCGCCAACATGCTCATGAGTTGGCTACTCGCTTTCAGCGGGGCGTGCTTGCGATTCTTCCTGGTAGACCACGCTTCCACAGGAAGACGTAAGGGTGTGCTTCCGCTCATGGGCATGTGCTTCTACACCACAGACTTGGGACTGGCTTGCTGCTTGTGAACGGACCCATGGGCATGGGCCCTCAAACAATTCCGCGCAGTCAGGAACCGGGCGACTACTCTGCTACGTCGTGATGCCAATCTCTTCTTTGACCAATTGAAACGAAGTTGGAGTGATCTTGATGAGCATGGCAGTACCCGTGACCTGTGGCAGAAAGTCAAGTTGTACCTTCCCAAGATGCAGGTGAGGAGAGAAATTCGAAGTGTGCACCAACAGGAGGCAATGCGTGGGCAATGGGAACCACACCTATGTGCTCTTGAGGCAGGCGCTCCGACTGACCTGAAGGACCTCTACAAGGAAGTGCTTGCAAGGTTTTTGGAGCTGAGCGTGACGATGTCCTTGCCCTTGAACAGGACTTCCTGACCCTGAAGGACGATTTGGAGGAATCCGGAGTTTCATTTCGCTCAGACCCGGATTCTTTGATGGCCCTAGGGGAGGAATGTGCCGGGGCTGCAGCCATTGCGCAGGATGTGCAATCCTTTTACCGCGAGTGGAAAGGCATGGAGGTCGGCATTTTGCTTGGACTGGTCTTCCTGTGGGGCATGCAGAATGACATGGACCAGGTGTGCACGTGCTGGTGGTGCGAGTTCCTGTCATCTGAGCCGAGGGGTAGGGCACTTTTGCAGCTTCACGATTGGGCCGTTGCCATACAGAAGGCAAAGAAGGTCCATGATGTACAGCCTGGTAGGCTGCCATACTGGGGTCCCAACAAGGACTCGAGCGGAATGCATCGACCAGGGTTGCCTGTGTGTCCGGAAGTGACCACCAGCCACGGCACCCTCACGGTCAGGAATTGCTCACTGAAGCAATTGCGGGCTGCGGTTTCATCATAGCCTGACCTGACTCGAACTTAGCTTTTGGCATTGGCTGCTTGACTCCATATAAGCCACAGGCTTTCGATCGGATGCGAATGAAATGAATGACACCCAGAAAAAGCACCGGGGTGCGGGTTTGCCCTTTCGTTGGTGCCAAGTGTCCGATTCTGGTTTGCTAGGAGCAAGTGTTTGCACAGGAAGACAATTGCACACATTGGGTTTGTCCTATTACCTGTAACAGTCAGTAAACAAAGATCGCGGTGGTCAGTCGCAATTTGAAGATCTGAATGGTCTGGATGTGTTTGAATGGTCAGTTTGCTGTTCCAACTGTTCGTCAAAGTTAACACCTGTGACCTTGGCCCACCAAGCTCTCCTGGATCTTGTTCCTGAGAGCTCCCATCGGCTGGATTCTCACTGGCAGAAGATGGTGGCCGTTTGGTGAAACAATCTAAGGTACCTATATATACATAATATTAGTATGATGTACGGGGTCCATGTTTTGGGTCATATTATATATATAAGGGCAGTGTTTTCGGTATTTCTGGATATTTCCTCCGGACCACTCACTTGAGCTCGGAGAGCCGCGTGCTAGCTGCAGCGTTTGCCCAGGATTTTTGGAGGCCTGTTGGAGAAGATAGGATCAAATCGTTCATGGAGTACCGGCAATTGTACAGTGTGCCTTGGGCTCTAAGAGGAGTTGGACCTACGTAGTTTGTGCCATAAAAAAACCTCGTCTGATCTCGGGCAGCGAGTGATTGGGACAGGCTGACCGTCTGCAATCTATTGCAATCTTAATTACAGCTATCACTTTCCAGTCATAATCTTTCCCAATGGACACGTGTGCGTTCCTCCCTTTTCAGGATTTCTCTTTCCACTATGGCCCCTGTGTTGCGTTCCACCGTTCGATGACCAAGGAGTGCTCCATGCTCTTCTTCGGCGACAACGGCCAAGGGGACCTCATGTGTGCGGAGCAGCTGACCAGGATGAACGTCGGTGGCGAGGGCACCGGCGGGGGCGGCATGGTCTCCGCTGCTTTCATCCACCAGGTACGGCATGGTCTCCACCTCGATGTTCTTTGTTGCGATCTCCGTGGGAGGAACGGCAGATGGATCCGGTATATGGAATTGCTAGTGATTCTGTTCAGGAGTCAGAGAGAGGTGGATGAATTGGGTGACGGTCCCAACAGAGATTGAAGAACCCTATATTATATATAAATAGACGACGTACTGTATCCCTAAGGGACCCCAGGTGACGGGTCGTATTTGCGGTCACTTATATAACCTCTCTTGGTCCTTGAAGCTGCTGGCCACCAGCTCGGGTCGGTAGGTGGCAGATCCTGCTGAGCAGCTTAGTGAGTTGGAGAAGTTCGAGGATCATGCTCTGGCGAAGGAGGAGAAAAACGCCAGGGCACATTCGGGGTGCTGTTTTCGAGACGTTTTCAAGATGCAACTACGATCCAGTTGACTTGATCACTCTACCTCTTTTCGTTGAGTGACTCCAGCTTTCTCGGAGACCAAAAGACACCCTCGTTGATCCGAAAAGTCCTCGTCGATGGGGGCCAGAAGGAGTATGCCTCCAGAGGCATCTACCTCTACCGCTTGGATGGCCCAGGATGTGGAATGGGGGGGATTGGAAAATATTTTTTTTGTCCCTCCCACAGCCAAACCCTTAGACCAAACCCTTTTTTTTGATTTGTTTCATGTTCTTTGGACCAGGCAAAAATGGTAAGGATTCGGATGGAGCCGGTGTGGCCACCCCGAAAGTTGGCACTCGACACTCGACACTCCATGTATGGAAGGTTTGCCTACACGAGATCTTGAAGGGGTCCATGTATGTCATATTCCATGAAGTGGATTGTTGGGGAGATGTAAAGTGACCTACCAATCCCTAGAAGTGGAAATGGGCCGTCGGACGACCATGTTCCTCTACTACACAAACAGGTGACTCTGAGCGAACACTCCGACAGCTGAGCCGGAGCTAGGTACTCGATCGAGAACATTGGTTGTACTTTGGGCTCGAGGTCCATCTTTAGAAAATGAACAGAGAGGATCCTTGGAAGAATAGTATATAATATATATATAGGTATAGGTATAGTCTGTACCGTAGAGAACACAAGAGATACAGCACGATTACAAGGGGCTCTCGAACCATACACATGTTGATTGGTTTGGCTTGAACAACCACACAGTAGTAGAAGATAGTAGAAGTGTCGATTAAATACCTCAGCAACATGTCAATGTCTCCCTTGGCAATCTTGGCGACCGAGTAGGAACTGCTGGGCATCTGATGTGGTGATCTGTCTTCTTCTGCAGAGCGATTTTTCCTGAGGCACTTACGTCGGAGCTGCCATCCATGTCTACAACTTGGGCTTCATTTCTCAGGAGGCGGATTCCAGGGAGGCGATGCGAGGCTTCGTTACGTCCACGTACGTGCCGCGTACCCAAATATGATCAGGATAATATTGGTTGAAGTTAAGTCCTTGGGCATTGGATGTTGGAAAACTCATTTGATGGATGGTCTACCAGCCTAAAAGACCGCCCACAGATGGAGAATTCGAAGACATCCAAGGGAGGCCACATGACATCTTCCATGATCTTCGCCATCTTGGACATCCATTCGGGAAGCCAAGGAATCACGTGACATCCACCGGAAATTGCCAAACCAGCCGGATGGTACTCTCTCTGAAGCTAACATTGAAGTGGAACACCCATGAATCCCCCTGTTTGGTCTTCGGTTTTCCATGGTCTTCCGAACGACAGGGGGCATGCCATCCGCTCACGGCCTGGCCCATGTCAGTTTGAACGGCAGACCTTCACCGAATGGACGAGCGGGCTAGACATCCATTCGGTGCGGGGCCAGTCCTTGTAAAAGCCACGCCGACGCATGGTGTTTCGATGACAGGAACTTTGGTCATGCAATGTGTCTAACATGTATATAATATGTCAGTACTGCATGCTATGGTGTTTGTATGTGTTTGTATTTGAGATGATGCGCAATTTTTTAACCAACAAACCACACGGCAAATGCATTCACCAACCAAACTTATTGGGTCAAATATTGGGTCAGTTCTGGCCGGTTCTGGCCATTCTCATTTAAATACAGTAGAGGAATCTCAGTTTCTCTTACACTACAGACTCATCTGTGGCTTGAAACATTAGGAGACTCTGTCGCGAGTTTTTGGGACCAGACATGACTCCAGATCAAGACACCTGAATGGTATTTGGGATGTATTTGGTTATATGACTACGATGTTCGGGTCCGTTGCTTTCTGGGTGCTTCCCTCGTTCGAGTCTCGGGCCTCTCAAACGGTCCAGTCCGGTGTTCAAGCCCCGCCCGGCCCAGGGCCTCTTCCGTGTGTGCACCGAGGCGGTGCAGGCGGGAACATGGTGATGGGTCGGGTGGCCCTCCCCCCGGGGGTCGTCGAGGTCGCGAAGCTTCCAGGGGGCGGTCGGAACGCCAACGTGTCGGTCTCCCTATAGATTAAGCTATATACACCCAAAAGCAGGTCAGACCACCGACCTTGGATGGCGAGAAGGGTCCCGAACGGGGCTCTCCTCCCCGGTGCTTTGGAGAAACCAATCCTGTGAAATTGGGAGGCCCCCTGAGGATCGCATTCCTTATTCCTTCGTGGGACAGATTATTGTGGCACCACTCCTGAAAGCTTCACGCACTCAAAGTGACGTTAACACCATAAATATCCATAAACCATGCCCATCAATCCTGGCATCATCCGCCATGTAATCCGACCCCACCCCACCCCACCCCACCCTGACGCCTGGGGTGTCCCTTGCCCCGACTTCTCCCAATGGGTCGGCGGTTCCGCGACTTCCCGTCGCGGTCAGGACATGGTGAGGCTTCGCATCCGCTACTTAGGCTGCGCCGAAGCACGGCCCTGGAGAGGCGGGCGCGGCGGATCGGGTGGAGGGTGAAGAAGTGGCCTCTGCAGTTGTGATGACTATATCTTGGTTTTAAGGAATGTGGACATCCACCAAAAAGTGGGATCGGTCGGTTTGTTTGAGTTTTGGAGTACCTTCAGGTGATTGCTTGCAAATTTCTGGGCGACATGGACGACATGAAACCGCTGCCCAGGGAATTTAATGTCAATTTTCTCGCGACAGCGTCTCCATTTATCTCCATTCATGCTTGTTTTGCATTGTGTTGCATTGATTGTTTGGGTTGTTTCAGTATTTTTGGCAGGTGCACCTAAAAGTTTTCCACGTGCACCACGGGTGTGTCTACCGAGTCCGTTGGCTCGGTTTCAGCCACACCGATGCATCGAGTCGAGTCGAGTCTGCCAAGCCACACCGATGGGTGAGGCAAACGGGTACCAACGTAGTTTTACTCGGTTTTAGTAGGTTTACTAGGACAAACTTCTTGATTTCCTCCTTAGTGCTCGAACTTTTACTAGGTTTACTAGGGCCTGGTGAGGCCACGTCCCGAATTTAGTGGTCACCTGGCTGGACCTAGATATCATATCGAAAGGATATCTCTTGGATGATCCAGTCTGCATTTTGCAGTACCAACATCGTTCCACTTATTGGATGCATTTATCACAACACCAAAACTAACATGATCTAAGCGATTTCATTCATATTAGCCCTTATTGACACAGCTAAGTATGACAGTTCAGTATCGAAAGGACACCTCCATAGCATGCTCTTGATGGTCCACCCTCAAACAGAGGTAGTTTCTGCACCAACCCTACTCTGGGCATTGCCTTCAAGAGCCTCCTACCACTGAACGCCGCCAGAAGTGGTCAATGAGATGAACGAAGATGTAGACCGTGTCTCGGCGCATGTCGTGAGCATGTCCAGCGGCTTACCCGCCGACCAGCGTGTGGCCAAAGTTCATGCTATAAAAGGTCGCTGGGGTCGTTTGGTGCATGTCTTGAAGGATCCCTTCCTGCAGGTGCTTGCAGGATCCCTACGCACCAAACATGAGTCCCTTCCGGTCCTGGTCCTGGGGCCTCGCTCGGCACCACTCGCGCGTAGACAGTGCAGGGCCTCTTCCGTCCCTAGTGGCCAGATGTGCCCAACATGGGGAAATGTGCCGAACCCAACGGTTCAGATGGACCGGCTCTCCCAAGGACGCAAGGACCGAACCTGAACGGCTGAAGAGATGATGACGAGATGAACTGCTGGCGGTAAAGATTCCTCCTCCACCCACCTGGCAACAGAGGATGTTCAGTTTCATGACTCCTGGAGTAGTCCTGGCGTTCTTTGGTGAAGGCCAATGGGAAACGCTCAGCTTCAACCCTTTTCTTCTTGACTTAGTCGGCCATCATGGATACCTGCAGATGTTCTACGGGAAACGCGGGCTGTAGCAATAGCTTTGTAATCTCTGAATTGTCTGGATCTCTGGATCTAAGAAATTCAAAGCCACATCCATTTCGACCAGGTTCTGCCCCTTTGGCTACACTTACTGCTCAACCCCTCCCACTTCACCAGCAAAAAAACCCTGTCGCCTGTCGCCGAGGGGTTGTTGTGCGCGTCGGCGCGTGTTGCCGGCCGAGTCCCGAGGCGCCAACGAACTCTTGCGCGATAGCGGCCTTCAGGTGGCCGCTCGGAGACGGTTCGATGTCGCGCTGCTTGTGCTGCTCGAGACGGAGAGGATCGAGAGAGAGAGAGAGAGAGATGGCGGAGATGGCGATATCGTCCGGCGATGTTGACCCTTACGATAGGTTGAGACATTCAGCAACCCAAACACGTACCTAGGACCTTTCCGGGAGTCCAGATCTTTCAAGGCTGCTGGACGACCCCAAAACCAGTCAGCCGGACGACGCGTGGCCTGCGCGTGGCGCGGGAGGGCGTCGTTGGGTATGTTTTAAAGCCGTTTTCCTTTTTTTTGCAGCTGAGCAGCTTTATTTTGTTTTGTTCTGTTTTGTGTTGTTTGTATTTGTGAAGGTGTACCCATGACTGTGTGGTACCCGCAACGTACAGGTTCAAGACTCGCCCACGCAGGCGAAAACGGGCGCTCGCACGTTCGTTCACGTGTTTTCATGGTAGCGGAGCCGACCCGGGGGGCTCAATAAATATACTCCGGGAGAAGAAGAAAGATCCAGGGAAGTGAAGAAGAAGTGAAGAAGAAAAGAAGTTGAAAAGAAGAAGAAAAGAAGAAATGGATGAACAAGTGGCAAAAGCATTGGTGGCCGCTACCCAGCAGTCAGCCGCGATGGCCCAGGAGGCGGTCAAGACGCTGAAAGAGATGAAAGAAGGAAAGAAAGGTGGTGAGATCTCCTGAGGTCTTTGAGCCAAAGAATATGGAAGAAGAGCTGTCCCAATGCAAGATTGGCGATTAGCCTTCAAGCTGGATCACGTTCGCTGAGGAAGCCTACAACAAGGAGCTCGATACGATTGATGGCTCTGAGAATGAGGTGAAGCAGAAGAGAAAGGAAGGTCAGAGAAGCTCTATGCCATTTTGGTTGGGCTGCTACGGAATAGGCCTCTCAAGTTGCTGAGGGCAGTTGAAGGCCGCAATGGCTATGAGGTTTGGAGGCAGCTGAGTCTCCAATTGGCTCCAAAGACAAGACAAGCTTTCCTCAACCACCCCAACTTCACGAAGGACAAGGGGATGACCATGCTCGAGCAGTTGCTTGGTCTGGAGAGGTTGGCTGAAGAGTATGGCAAGGTGGCCAAGGAGGAGATTGGTGACAACACCAAGTTGAGCGTACTGTTGAGGGTGATGCCAGCTGCAGTCAGACAGAATTTGCAGTTGCAGATGACGGAGGACACGTCCTACAAGGAGGCCAGAGAGAAGATGTTGGCCTACGAGCGAACCACCACTTCATGGGGGAGCCAGGCAATCTACAAGGAACTGGCCATCACCAAGGACCACGACAGGCACGATGAGGTGATCCCCATGGATGTTGACAGAGTGAAAGGTAAAGAGAAAGGGAAAGGAAAAGGAAAGGACAAAGGCGGCAAGTCCAAGGGCAAGCAGAAGGGGAAAGGTTTTGGCAATTATGCCAATGTGGACTACAAGGGCAAGGGCAAGGAGTACAAAGGAAAGGATGGCAAAGGCAAAGATGCCAAAGGAAAGGGCAAAGGTGTATCTTCAGACACCTGCAAGCTCTGTGGCGGCAAAGGCCATTGGAGCAAAGAATGTCCAATGAGGGCATTGAGGCAAGTCAGTGAGACATCTTCCACTGTCACGACTTCAGTGGGAGACAGTGCAAGTGTTGCCCAGGCATCAGGTACGACGCCATCCACAAGCTCGAAGAATGTCAGAAGGGTCGAGACGGTGATCCTCGATGAGGATGAAGAGGACAATGCAGTTGGGCATGTCCGGATGGTGGGGACTGAAACCTATGACCTCACCTACAGCGACAATGATGAAGATTGGATCGTGTTCAAAGATCCTAGTGAAGGCCAAGGAGAAGCTCATTTTGTGGGTTTTGAGGACTTGGTCGATGGTGGAGGTTCGAGGCCTCGCAGGAAGGGATGCAACAAAGTTGACTTTGTTCGCACGGTCGCTGGAGAAGATGGAACGATGGTGATCCTCGACTCAGGTGCTGACATCTCGGTGCTCCCCATGAGCTACCGAGAAGTGGGATTCCCGATTGATCGGGTGACTTCTTTGAGAGATGCTCAAGGAGGAAAGATGACAAATGGTGGCATGCGCCAAGCCATGATCGAGCTTGAGGATGAAGACGGCCATTTGGTCGAACTAAGGGAGAGTTTTGCCCTGTCCAACGTCAAGGAACCACTATACTTGCATTGGGCAAGCTGCTGAGAAGAGGTTGGAAGATAGAAGGAGAAGGTGGAGATGTGCGATTGACGCACGGTCTGTTCAGCAAGAGCCTGCAGTTCAGGCACAACTCACTGGTGGTGGACGCCAAAATTCGAAAGGTTGGAACAGTTGTGGACCAGCCTATGGAGGAGAACAAGGTAAGGGCAGTGACCATGGAGTTCCAAGATTGCTGAAGTCATTGCTGGACGTTGCAGGTCGGCACCTCGCAAGTGACAGAAGAGTCCCCTTTCTGGTCACATTGAGCACGAAATTCTACGAGGACTCCTTCCCGCAGTGATTTTCCTTACAGGTCAACTGTCATTTGGAAGTCAGGCCTCTGGGAATTGGTCGAAATGGCCGAGCAGAAGCAGGACGAAGATGAGATTGAAGAATGTGAAGGTGAAGAAGTGAAGACAGTTAGCTTCTTTCACCAAACGGTGGACGGTTTCATGGCATTGGGAGTGGTAAGCCCAGGAGATGATTCACCGTTCTTGAGGCCCGACATCTACAAGAAGTTCGACCTTGAGGAAAAGAAGAAGAAGGAGGGAAGTGCAGTTGTCGAAGGTTGGTTTGGCAACAGCCTTGAAGATGGAGTCTATGAGGAGGAAGATGATGAAGAAGAGATGGGTGAACAAGAGCCCATTGATGATGGCGACCCATTTGGACGCCAGAAAGTCCCTCTTGATCCTGAGATCAGCGAAGTTGAAGTCGAAGGTGAAGCTTATAGAGAGACTTCGTCGTTGAGGGAGTTGAGAAGAGCATTGAAAAAGTGTGGCCTTGGCAGAGGAAAGAACAAGAAGGAGGCATGGAAGATGCTAGTGCATCACTATCAGCATTTTGCTGAGAACCTGAGCATCGAGCTGTCAAGGAAAGAATTTCAGAGAATGAAGGCTGATGAAGGAGAAGAGGCCAAAGGACAGTCAGTGCCGAGAATGCCTTCGAAAGCGGAAAGACAAGTTCATGAGTTGACTCACTTTCCATACCAGCCTTGGTGCCAGCATTGCATAGCTGGAAGAGGGCGTGACGATTGTCATCTGAGCGCCAAGCATGCTTCAAGACAAGAAGCAAAAGCAGAAATGCCCGTGATCTCGATGGACTTCTGTTTCAGCCGAGGTGATGATGAGGTGGATGTCGAAGTGAAAGAAGACCTGCGCATCTACCAAGGTGATTTGAGAGGAGGAACATGCCTGGTGGTGACAGATGATTGGTCACATGCAGTCTTGTGTGTGCCAACACCAGGGAAAGGCAGGGCCCACCTGAAGTTCATGGCTGAGCAGGTGATGAGGTTCATTGGGAGCTTGGGGTTCTCACGAGTAATCCTCAAGGGAGATGGAGAACCCTCGATGAGAATGCTGTTGGAGGTACTTCAACAAGCAAGGTTGAGATTGGGATTCCACACAAACATTGAGATCAGTGGCCCAGCAGATTCACAAGCCAATGGTCGTGTGGAGAGAGAGATCCAGACGGTGAGAGGCATGGCGAGGACATTGGTGCACGGTGTCAAAGAAGGTTGTCAGATGCACATCAAGCCATCTTCGCCGGTGTTCCTTTGGGCTATGCGCCATGCTGGATGGTTGTTGACACACTACAGAAGACAAGGAGGTGGACCAACAGCCTATGAGACCAGGACAGGAAGAAAGTACTGTGGCGGCAAAGTTGCAGTCTTTGGTGAGCGTGTGTTGGCAAGGGTGAAGAGAGCCAACGGTAGTGACAAGTTTGAACCGGGCTTATGGCTTGGGAAGACAGACAGAGCAGATTTCCACATGGTAGCAACAGCTGCAGGTTTGAAGTGGACAAGAACCATCAGACGGCTACCGACTCCTTTTGACCCTGAGGCCGTGACGTATGTGAAGTTCTGGCCGTGGAACATTGGGTTTGGGCAGATTGGTGCTAAAGCTTCTTCGCTGGTAGGCAAATTTCCTACGGTCCCATTGCCGCCAGATCTCGCCCCAGGAATTCGAGCAGAGGAGAAGAAGTTGGCTAAGGAGGAGAAAGCAAAGAAGAAGGAAGGTGAGGCGAGGCTGAGGGGTGAAGAAGGACGAGGAGAGAAGAGACAGGCAGGGGCAGATGAAGAAAGCAGCAAAGGAGATGATCCAGACATGAGTGATTACACTCCAACACAACCAGATGAAGAAAAGGATGAAGGAGGTCTGGTGATTACAGATGACACGTTGCTGCAAGACCTGCTTGATAGTTTGGAGGAGCCGATGGTTGAGAGCGAGGTTGACAAAGCACCAGCCAGTCCAAGAAGAAGCCCTGTGGATAGTCCAAAGAGGTCAGGTGGAGAAGGAGATGTGGAAGATGAAATGCCAAAGAAAGTGGCAAGGTCTGCACCGAAGAAGATGTTGAAGGCCAAAGCAAGTTCAGAGAAGGATGAACCGGAACCAGCATCAGCTTCGACAATTCGCATGGTGGTTGCTGGAGAACTGCTGTATGATGGAGATGAGAGTTTGGAGCTTCCAGATCAACCTCCAGAGTTGCCAGAGGCTGAGCTTGCGGAGATTGAAGATGAAGCCACAAAGGAAGAGATTCAGAGGCTGATTGGCATGGAAGAGAAGGGCAAGATTGGTTGCGCGTGATTTTGCCTGGTGTGATCCTAACAGGACAGACGTCTTTGCACCAGCGGGAGGACACTCACTCCTGAGATTGGTCCCAGCCATTTGTCAAGTCAAAGGCTGGAAGATGATCACTATGGATGTCAAGGACGCCTATCTGATGTGTGCGTAGCCACGAAAGGTGAAAGTTAGTCTAGACAAGGCATTGGCAGAGCGACTTGGACTTCAGCAAGAATGGATCCTAGGCCGGATTCTCCCAGGACAACGAGAAGGTGCAGCACAATGTTTCCAAGAACTGAGAAAAAGCCTGATTGAGGCGCCTGATTGAGGCAGGGCTCACACCATGTGCTGAAGCGCCTACTTTGTGGAAAGGCCAAGACGTGATCTTGCTAGTCCATGTCGACGACATGATCCTTGGAGGAGAAGAGAAAGAAGTGGCCAGAGTTAGTGACCATCTCATGAAGCGCACAAGGTGTCTGTGGAGGATGACCAAGTGCTGAGTTTCTCGAAGAGGACTTTGATGGTGGATGTCTCAGAAACCAAGATGATGGTGATCAATGAGAAGTACATCCACAACCTTGTGAAGATGATGAGTCCCTTGAAGAGATCGAGAACTCCAGGAACCGGAATTGAGGATGGAAAGATCATGGAAGAGGACGACTGGAGGAAGCCAATGTACAGGTCAGCAGTTGGAACATTGCTGTACATGGCCGGCGACAGACCAGCTATCCAGTTTCATGTGAAAGAACTGGCAGGACGACTCCAAAGTCCAGCAGAAGGTGCATGGAAGGCTCTTGAGAAGTTGGTTGGTTATTTGGCTACAACCATGGACATGCATTTGGTGATGAGGAGTCAGACGAAGAGCAACTCGTTCAGGAACAGAACACGAGGTCTGACAACAGCGCCCATGTTTGAAGAAGCCGAGCACATGTGGTTGCTGGAAGTGACCTGCGATTCAGACTGGTCAGGAAACAAGCAGACACGAAGCTCGACATCGGCAGGATGCATTTTCTTGGCAGGCAATTGGATTCACTCCTATGCCAGAACCCAGAAGAACATCACGTTGTCAAGCACGGAGGCAGAGTATGTTGCCTTGGTGTCAGGAGCTTCAGAAGGTTCGTTGCTGAAAGCTGCAGTCGAACACCTTACAGGTGAGCAGGTGAAGTTGGTCATCTATGGCGACAACAGTTCGAGCATAGCAATTGCTCAGAAGGAAGGTGTCGGAAAGTTGAAGCACCTAAGTGGTCGACTACTATGGCTCCAGCAGAGACAGAGCAAAGATTTAGATTTGCGGAAATTGGATACGGGTACAAACCCATCTGACATAGGCGCCAAGACGCTTGGAGGCAAGCGCATCAACCTGTTGATGTACATTATGGGCTTTACAGACTCCTCACAGCAACTTGGCAAGACAGAGTTCGAAGCAGAGAGAGCAAAGGCTGAGCAGAAGAGGAGGTTGCAAGAAGTGAGAAGGATGGTGTTTGCAGAAGAAGGGACACCAGAGAAGAGCACCCAGGCGAACCAGCTGGCAAAGAGATTGCTGAGGCTCACGATGACGGCGTTGCTAGCAGATTCAACCTTGGGCCTGGCGACGGCAGAAGACCAGCAGTGCTTTCCAGAGGATGAGCCGCAGAAGCAGCCAGAAGGATTGCTTGGAAGAAGGGAGTCAGGAAGTGAGACTCTTGAGCAAGTGGTGATGGGATTGACAATCGCCATTGTGATCTCGAGCATTGCAATCCTGATCTTGCTGAAAGCCTTGAAGAACGCAGCAAGATAGTTGAGGAGACATGTGACGTCATGGCAAGCACTGAGGAGTGCAGTCGGAGGTGATGAGACCTACACCTCAGATGAAGAGCAAGAGAGGATTGATTTGAGCACGTGGAACACTCCAAGGAGATGGCCGGAGAACCAAGGAAACACAGAATGGCAGAATTGGTCAAACTGGCCATCAGGGCACAGGACCAGACACGAAAATGACGAGACAAGCGAAGAACCTGAAGGAAGACAGTGGGTTCAATGGGCAGGAGACTCTGGATTAGGTTTCACAGGTTGGCCCGCCTTGGGGTGAAGAGATGGAAGAGGAAGCACAGGAACAAGATGGTGAAGTGAGAGTAAGCTCTTACATTGACGATGAGGGCTACGTGCACGAGACACAAGTGCGTGTGAGAATGGTGAGGATTGAGACAGAGGAGGAAAGAAGGCAGAGAGATGAAGATGAAGAGTCAGAGAACAGCCTGACGACGGACTATGGAAGTCTGGAAGGTCACATCGAACCAGTGGGTGACTATGAACACCTGGAAGATGATGCCTACCAGGCATACAGGCTTGAGCAGATTGAGAATGATGTGGGCATTGAAGTTTACATCATTATGAAGGTGAGGCAATTTCGCCAGATGATGGAAGAAGATTCAGCAGACGAAGACATCCCTACGGGATACGAGATGTTCAGAGAGCTCCAAAGGATGCTGATGATCACTGGAGCAGAGACAAGAAAAGAGGTGACTGACTACATCAGAAGCTTGAGGCAGTACACCTACCATGTGAAGAAAGGGCATGAGGATGTGAATTGCCCCTTGGAAGAAAGCGAATGGCCAGACGGCTGGATGGCTGCAAATTGGGGACCACCAAGAATGCTGAGGGAATTCAGGATGCCACCAAGAAGACAACAAAGGAGACGGAGAGATGAAAGCAGCAGCTCTGAAGAGCATGATGCGGCAGCGGCTTTTGATCTGCAGGATCGAGGTCGAGATGACCCAATGATCCTTGACGAACCCGAGCCTGAAATCGAGTAGGTGCATCTGAAAAGATGAACACTGAAGTGATTTCATGGCGAGGGGAAGCTTTTGGAAACCCCTAGCCATGAAAAGGCAGGGTGTGAAGGTGTACCCATGACTGTGTGGTACCCGCAACGTACAGGTTCAAGACTCGCCCACGCAGGCGAAAACGGGCGCTCGCACGTTCGTTCACGTGTTCTCAATATGTATGTTTGTTTGCTCGTTCAAACACTGTATTGCAAGGTGGCTCCACGCTTATGCTGATCCGACTTGATCTAAACTTAAACGACATCTATGTGAGGCCCAAAGATCCAACGTGGTGCATTCTGGATTTGCATGAGATGAGGCAGTGTAGTATTGTGGTCATCTCTTGTCCATAGTCGTTTCAGAATGTTTCAGAGGAAGTAGTAGAGACAGAGCAATAACTGGAGGACAATTACATAGATGCAGATCGGTGTAAAGGATGGCGTAACCACCCTAATTTTAATCTATCTATATCTCTCTATATATATAAATATAAAAATATATACAATACTTGTTTGGTCTGTCTAGTCTCCAGCAAAAAGCATGCGTTACCATCATCTCACAATCGTCTATTGGTTGCCACCGACCACCTATGGTTGTCCGGTGCTTCTGCTGGTCGGTAACGCCCCACTGGTTCGAATTCTGCCACCGGCTCGTGGTGCAAGTGGTCGACTCGCGACTCGCGACTCGCGCGACTCGAGCGCCAAGGCAAAGGCGCCGATTTCTGTGGAGGTGAATCTGCCTCTCGGATCGGTGTTTCAGTTGGAGGACTCACCGGGAGAGGAAGGACGCTTAGAACGCACGCCCGCCCATCCGCTTGCAGAGGTCGATTCGAGTGAAAAAAACACTCTTTTTGCCGCGGAGATCTGTCGGGAACTCCAAGAAATGGGTTTTCAGCACAAGATCTCCAGTTCCAGAGCATCCTTTTATTGTGGATTGAGAGTAGATGGCACAAGGGCCCCCAAGGTTAGGGTGGTGTGTTTTATATGGACCCCCATCTGTCTAAGACATCTAGGAGGTCCCGTGCCATCTGCTCTGAAACTACTGTAGTTGACAAGAGATATACTTGAAGTTTCCTGTGTAAAGTACACCTCATATGTATAGACACACTTCATGAACATTGTAATTTTGGCTGAAGTGGTAAAAAGGTCCGCAGCCGCTGCCTCGTCGGGGTCACGACGGACTTTACTTGTTACTTTCGGTTGTTTGTTGTGTTGGTGTTCCGTTTCAACGGTTCGAGTGGTTATCAGCCGTATTGGCTTTTGATTGTTTTCCTGTTCTTGTTACAACACAACAACATCTTTCATTTGTGCGGTTGCGGGGTCCACAGAAAACCCGTGCGTGTCAAGTCGGCGTCCTCGAGAGCCTTCCCGTTCGCCACCTAGTCGGCCGTGGCGGCCTCCTGAACCGCCGGAAGAAGGCCACCAACGCCTCCGGATCCTCCGAGGCGCGGTATTCGGTCAGGTGCTGCCGCACGGCGACGCGCAGGGAAGCGTACATTGTCAATTCGGGAGGCGATCGAGCGACGATTCCGACTGTTCACGCTGGCGGTCAGAGAAGGCCACTTGGAACTTCTAGGTATTGGGAGCCGAGTGCAAGTGAGGCGGAGTCGGACGAAGTTGAGATTGTTGCGCATACATCGGCAGTTGATTTGACTTCGTTGCAGGCCGAGCATCTTGTGCTGCGTTCAAGGCTCTATACATGTACGTCTTCGATCATTCGCCTGGATCCTCAAGTTCTGCGGCAGCTTCGAGGGGAGTTCCGAGTCGAGCGGCTTCAAGTGTTGTTGACGCGCCTGCCGGGAATCGGCCTTACGACATCCTCAAGTACTACCACCCGGCGCCTGGAGTCGTTCTTCACCCGTGGTCGCGAGTTGACATTGTTTACAGAGAGGCCTTGACTTTTCCGTCTTCAGCCAAGTTTTACGTGTGGGCGAACGGTGATACGTTGAGGCTGGCAGCAGAAAGGCCGAATCAGTGGGGTTCTGATCCGGTGATTGCATTGGACTACCATCAGGTCCTTCACGTTGACCGGAGTGCCAATCCTCCGGATCGTGTGGATCACATTGGTAATCTGCCTGCAGGCCATATTGCAGCAGTTCGTCGCTTGCGTAGGGAGATTGAAGAGGTGGGCTTGCGTTGTCGGGTGAAGGTCATTGTTTTGTCGCACATTCACGACAGCGTGGTGAACGAGAGGAACTTGATCACTGCGGTACAGCAGAGTTCATTGTCGGTTGGTTTTGTGATTGTCACCCGTGAGAGAACGGGCCCAAGTTTGAGGTGTTGAGATCGTTGACTCGTGGTCATGTGATTTTGGGACGACAACGTTGAGGTGCTTCGTGAGTTCAGTGAAGCGAGCCCCATTGCTATTCAGATTCGCAAGCCTCGAGTTGCAGCGATTTTTGGTGAAGAGCAAATGTCTTCTATAACGGGTGTTGCGCTTATCCAATTATAACTAATATTATAAGTAGAACTTAGCCACTAATTAACTGCATTTATTAACTGAACTTATCGTGTTTATAAGTTCCCCACGTTGCCCTGTTTTGTAATTCTAGAAAATCACCACATTTTTTTTTCTGGGGGGTGGTCGTTTTTGATTTTTTGGTGGGCCGTTTGTTCCGCACAAAGGTTTTGCAGAAAACTCCGACGCATGAGGCTCGCCCATGCCAAAAATCTGTCGGTAAATCGGGTTCCATTTTTGTCTGAGAAGTTGTACCCAAAAAGACGAGGCCACGCGCGCGCGCGCTGTTGAGGAGATACTTTTTCACCGCGAGATTCGCGCATCAGACCTTCAGTCAAAACAGGTGTGGCGAGGCTACACCACACGGTAACCGGGCGAGCCTCGGATGTCCATCTGGCCTTTGTGGATTCACAAAGGGATTTCTGCAAGCAGAGCTTGAAAGATTTGAAGCATTTTGCTTCCAAAGGGCGGCCATAGCTTCGATTCCAATTTTTTTACATAGAAGCCATGGAAGCCACCCTTCATTCCAAAGGATCAACATCCTTGATTCCAGGGATCACTGCAGCGGCAGCTCTAGGGTTTCTGTCTGCACTTCCTCATGCCCAAACTCGATTTCCATTTGGTGTTCCTGAGTGGCTGGCACGTGAAATTGGAAAGAAATTTCTACGGAAAATGCTATGAGAAAAGTTTCCAAAGCTTCAGGTCAAAATTCTGCAAACCTCAAAATAGCATACCAACCTTCGGCCATGAGCTTGTTGTAGGTCGCGTCTTTCCAAAGGTCCCGTTGAGCGGAAGCTGTCCCCAAGGCCATGTGCATGGCTTTAGCAAACTGAAAGAGGTTTTCCCCCACAGCTTGCCGTGCAGGGTCTGGATCTTCATGCAACAGGCAATATACACACTCCATCAAGCGTCCAACTTTTGCTTCCTTGGTGCAGTGCCCGAACTGTGGTAGGAGGCACCGTAAACAAAGCTTCTGCGTCCAATTCGTGAAAGGCATGCTGCCTTTGAGTGAGTGCCACCGCTCATGGATAACCTCGAGTTCATCATTGGTATTCCCATTTTTCCTGCCAGTGTTGGTGTGATGAACTGGAATTATAGGACCGGATAACCCCACATGTGAACAACTTCGAAAGATTGAGGCTGCAGGGGTAAAGTGCGGAAGAGTGAGCGTGGGGAAGAGACAGGCGAGACAGATATAAGGCGTGAGGGTCTCTGTGTGTACGTGAGGTGTGTGTTTGTGTGTATGCGCTTGTTCGTCAGTGTGTATCAGTGTGTGGGCGGATGTATGCTGCTTGGCGCTTGTACTAAAGTTGTACTAGAAAGTCGCCAGTTCTCATCTTCCAGCTCCCCAGATACTCCGCGTACT